TGATTGTACATCAGTTTTGTGAATTACAATGAAAAGAAAAAAAAAACTACCATCTGACGACCGACTCTAGCACCGCACACTTTTCCATTCTTTTTTATTCAAAGAATAATTAATTACATTCGTTTATTATAATATAATTCTTTATCAGTGACAATACAAGATAAATATATTAAGTAACACGGCGGCCTGGTGGTCTAGTGGTTTGTGACCCTGACTGCTGAGCCGAAGGTCCTGGGTTCGATTCCCACCCAGGACAAATAGTTGTGTGATGAACACTGGGTGTAATTTATCTATAATATGTATGTATTTAGATATACAAGGATGAATATACAATAAGTTGAATATATAAGCATGTTTATCAGCAGTCTGGTTACCACAGTACAGGCTCTGTCTAGTTTGGGATCAGACGGCCGTGTGTGTGATACGTAATTAAGTTGTTTTTTATGTTAAAGGGGGCAAACGAGCAGATAGGTCACCTGATGGAAAGTGACCATCGCCGCCCATGAACATCTGCAACTCAGGAGTCACAAACGCCTTTTAGGAGGGATTACGCTCTTTTCTTGAAGGTTTGAAGGTCGATAAACGCAGACGATAGCCCGTTCCACAGATTGGTTGTGCGAGGCAAAAAATGTTTCGAAAAGCGCATAGTAGTGGAACGCCTACTATCCAGGTGATGGAGGATGGACCGTGTTCAACGATGGCGGAAAGTTACGGCCGGTATTAGTCAGAACAATTCCTCGAAGCACTCTCCATGATATATGCGATAGAGAATGCAGAATGAAGCCATATCTCTACGTAACGCCAAGGAATCGAGCCGATCGGAGATGTTTGGGCTATCGACGAGTCGAGTCGCTTTTCGTTGGATGCGGTCCTGAGGGGGAAGCTGTTACTGAGGTCCCCTGCATAGAGATGAGAACAGTATTCCGTATTGAAATACTGCCTCTATCTGTTCAGCACACCGAGATTCCTCGAGACCAACTTGACCTTACCCTCTAAGTGACCCCGAAACTGGACTTCGCTCGATATGTCGATATGTAAATAAATGTGTGGCGACAGCTGTTAAAAATGCTCTATTAAGGATGTTAACCAACATACAACACGCATTGTAATAATGGCTCTCGGTCAAGGGACAATTATAAATACATAATTATAGGCTGTACGTTGTGTTTACCTTAACATTAAGCGTAGTGCACAAACAGTCTTTGGACATCGGACTGCTTACGGTACAAGACAAAACCTAATATTCCGGTTTCGAAGCTATTCTACTTACGGCACCAATGGGTATATTAGCTAGATGCTCAATGCGGAACAAAGCGAATATAGGTTAGATGCTGAAAAATTAGGTACCGAAAGAGGAATACTCCGACAAAACTTCTTTTTAATTCTTTTTGCTTCAAAACAAAGAACATTATTCTTTTTTTTAAATATAAATTAAGAGTTCATTTACTAAAAATGAAAAGAAAGTTTTTAAGTAACGAATCAACACAGTTTGTACATTATATTAATTTACTAGCTGACCCGGCCAAACGTTGTTTTACCATATACATTATTTCTAGGAAATATTGAAAAAAAAAATTTAGGGGTGGGTCACCCTTGTCATTTAGGGGTATGAAAAATAGATGTTGGCCGATTCTCCGTCCTACCCGATGTGCACACAAAATTTCATAAAAATCGGTCCAGCCGTTTCGGAGGAGTATGGTAACTACCATGGTGACACGAGAATTTTATATGTAAGAAATAGGCATGACAACTTCAAGATGTCGGAACCAGAATTTTAGTGAGCGTAATTGTTTTAACAAGCCGATTTATTTAGCTGAGCAACTCAATCACAAGACGTTTGCCATGGGGCTCTTCCATGCTTGGGCAAAAATAGGCAGGATCGACCGAAGTGATACCACGGCCTCAAGAAAACCGGTGTTAAACAGATTGCTGGGATGGACTAGACGCGGAAGACCGGTGCTAACCCCAAGAGCTAGACAAAATTTTGATGTTTCTAATTCTGACTAAGACACTCAGTCATAAATTTCAGGTAATAATTGAGAGACGGCTACATATATAGGGGAGAGTAACCAATATTGAACCGGCGCTTAAATTTAAGTTTTAAATAAAGGACCACTTATGTATTTCTACCAAAATGGCCCTATTTGATATAGTTTATTGGCACAAAAAGGAGCGCTACAAAATGGCGGAGTATTAGTGCCACTGCTAGCGTTCCTTTTATGTTGCTAGTGTAAAAAAATTGTGCTATTTTGGTAGAAATACAGAAGTGGTCCAATTTAAAAGCCGGTTCAATATTGGTAACTCTCTCCTACATATAAAATAACTTGCTGACTGACTGACTGATTAACCAACGCAAAGCCTAAACCGCTGGGGCTACGAATTTGTAATTTTGGCAAATGATGCTTTTTATATTGTAAACACCGACTAAGAACGGATTTTTAGACATTTCACATCTAAGGAGGTAAAATAAAGGATGAACGGTTGTAGGAAGTTCATCATTTTGAAAGTTAGAAACAGAAAATAAGAAACAATCAGAACGAAGCCGCGAGTAATGTTTAGCCTCGTGATATTCTTTATTGATTGTGCCGCGTTTACTTCTTGTTCAGTAAGCTTTAAGAAATGTCAGATCAAACAGATATACCGTTTAGCAAAAAAATCTTAATCTGATCAAAAAAATAAAACTGGTTATACTAAAACAAACAGCGCTGAATAAATTCAACTCTCCGTTAGTAAAATAATGCAAAAAATGATGTTCATTTTAGGGTTCAATATCTTATCAGAAAACTCTTTGTAAATTAAATTAATAACTAACTTAACTATAATCTTAGATGTAACTGTTCCTCACCATGCCGTGGTAACTTGTAAGAAGACAACACTCAGCACATATTTGTAAAACATGTTTGTAAACTATGTATTAATGTATGTTTTGTTAGTTTTCCTAAAAAAATAAAAAAATAAAATTTGTTTATGCTAATATTAGAGCTGGATGCGAGAAGCCGAAAATCGATCGAAGTGGAGTGGACTAGGAGAGGCCTATGTCCAGCAGTGGACTGCGATAGGCTGATGATGATGTTGCCAATATGAACTCAAACGTGTGAACTTAAGCTGTACATTTGTAAGAAGTACTAGTAGAATTAACCTACTTGATAAATGAATTGAAAATTTTAACTTTTCAATCTCATGTTAACGGTCTGTTAAAGAAGAAACTTTTTTTTGGTATAGGAAGCAAACAAGCAAGCGTCGGATGAATGGAAAGTGTCTACCGTCGCCCATGGACACCAATAACTCAAAGAGTCACTAGTTGCTGGCCTATAACTCCTCCTCTCCCCACAAATTGGAGCAGGGGTGGGGTTCGGGCTCCGGTAACCTCAAAAGCTTTTTTTCATGGAAGGGGGGGGAGGGGGGGCAGACGAGCAGACGAGTCACCTGGCAGACGATAGCTCGGTGTAAAGCAACGAAAGAATTGCTTAACGTCTGTATTCTGAGAGACCATGGTTACGCTCCGGTCACGTCGGTCCATTTCCGAAGAAGAATGGCTCTCTCAAGATAAATCTTGAAATTGTGCCATATGTAGTGTCAATGAGAAAAAATCTTGGTTTTTTTTTTTTTTTTAAACTCCCGCATTAGGAATATATCCTGTGTCGCGGGGGACGACATACCATAATAACATTTATGATAGAGAAACATAATCAATTCAGAATAAAAGGGCAAATAATAATAATAGGTAAATAAACTTATGAAATCATCTATTCGACTGTGGTTAAATAAAGACTCTACCCAGCTATAACCTGCTATATAAAAACCAATATCCGGGGGTTTCAAAGTCGAAATACTCATTAATGGAGTATAAAAAGTCGTAATTAAATGATTGTAATTTATCACATTACATCAGCAGCCTTTAAGAGTTCACTGCTGGACATAGGTCTCTCCTTAGAAAGGAGATTTTGGGCTACTATATCACGCTGACCAGACGGGTTAGCATAGGGTTTGTGTCAAGTTTTCCTTCTCTTTGCTGTGCTGTTGTCCTGCGTAGTTTGTTCCCTGAGTTGGCTTTGACGACACCCACGGGTAGAATACAGGTAGTGACAATCAGTAACCACACGGATTTAATTATTAAAAGTAATTTAACAGCGACAAAATAAGAGAAGTAAGCTACGTAATTATGCAAAATGAAATTATGTGAGATTCAAAGAAATTCGTGATTCAAAGAAGTGTGACGACAAAAAGTTTTTACAATAAGTTTTTCTAATAATTAACAGTGAGATAACTTAAAAGTGGCCAAGGCATTTTCAAGGTGTTTAAAGATTGTTGAAAAAACCTAAAGAGCGACTAACGAAGTACATACAAGACTGCACGTATGGCGTAGTGGCTTACGCGGTCACCTCGCCGCTTCCTACTGCGCTGAGTGTTGTGGGTTCGATCCCCACATGGGACAACACTCTGTGTGATCAACAAATTGTTGCTCTCAGTCTGAGTGTTCTTTGTGTCCTTTTCATAGCTGGTTATTAAGTCCCCCGCGACACAGGATTTATTCCTAGTGCGAGAATTTTCACTTTTTATTAAATAAAAAAATATATGTCGGAGTTTTTTTAATATATAAATACTAGCTGACCCCGCAAACGTTGTTTTGCCATATTCATTATTTCAATATTTTTTTGTTTTTTGATTTTGATTCTCAGACCTACACGATATGCACACAAAATTTCTGGAAAATCGGTCGAGCCGTTTCGGATTTTATTAAAATTGTACTTTGTATATTTGGTAGGTCGTAAAGTATTTTTCGCCCTCCTACTCCCACTCCCCATTTTTTTTTAATGGCAGAACAACGTTTGCCTTGTTAGCTAGTTTGATATTACAAGTGCATAAATGAAACGCGCGAAACGTACGGAACATTCGGGTGCATGTCAAAGTGATCTCGGAGAAACTGGATTTCCTTCGCACTCAGTATAAATAGCTGCGAGGATTATAACACTCTACATACCAAGTTCAACAGCAGAACAATGAATACCTTAATCCTTATTTGTGTTTTGATCGCCGGCATCAATGGACATGTAAGTACTTTTAACCAGTCATAAAAACTAGACACACACGGCTGTCTGATCCCAAACTAGGCAGAGCCTGTACTATGGTAACCAAACTGCTGATAAACATACTTATATAGTCATGATCGTAGAATAGTCGGTTTTGAAAAAAAAAAAGCGAAATTTAGTTTCTACTATATTTTACAACATTGTCTAAATATTATTATTACATTCAAGAAAAAAAAATGTATTTTAAATATTAAATTATTCAGTCGATATACTGACGGATTGATAGGCACTCAAAGTAAATGAAACAAGTGATTTTTTAGTTGTTATTTTTATAGCATTTTAAAGCAAATAATATTTCTCATTTGTATGCCAATTTTCATAATTACAGATTTAGAATTAAAAAAGTTTTGCAAAAAAACTAACAAATTTTTAATGGCTTTTGAAATTTTAAAATGGCTGCCCTGTGAAGTTCAATAAATGACAGATCCGACACTATTCTACGACTATGACTATGTTGTATAAGTAAAAGCTAGATAATTTAAATAGGTTTATTAAGTAGCTTTTCCTACGCTAGCAATACTTTTATTTTTTTAATTATAGCAACTCGCGGATTGAATTGTCAGTAATGTGAGTTGTCAATGTCATATTTTTTTCCTATTGATACAAAATACTTACCAATTTAAAAAAATTGCGGTTGGTTAAGTGAGTAAACTTGACATGATTTTCGAATCAGAATTTAACAATAAAAATAGACAAACTTCATTAATTATCAAGTGTAATTAATAATTATTAATACAAATTACGTTAAAATAAAATTATATTTTGAAAAAACACACAACTTATACAGTTTCTTGAAAGTTTCAAATAAGAACTTGTGTTAATTAATAGGGATCGATTTTTAGACCCTTGAGTAACCGATTTTGGCCCCTTTTGGATTTTGGATTTGGGTCGACATCGACCACTTTGAGAATCCCTGCACTAGAACAACAGGGCACCCAGTACCCTTATTAGATAACAAACTGTCTAAGAAAGATGGTGGTGACCAGTGCCTATTTACCATACGAGCTGTTAAAATAAGGTGGTCGTATTGGTGGTAATTGGTCTATTGGTTAGTGAACCTGCTAAGCAAAAGATCGTGGGTTCGATACCACCCATAGATGAATAATTGTGTGATGAAAGCGATTAATTACTATTTATATTGACTGCACGAATGGTGTATTAGTTTAGGCGGTCACCTCGCCGCTTCCTACAGCGCTGAGTCTGGTTGGTTTGATCCCCACATGGGACAATACTTTGTGTGATTCACAAATTGTTGTTCTGAGTGTGAGTGTTCTTTGTGTCCATTTGTAAGTCCCTATATAATAATATATTCCTAGAGGGAGAATTGTTTTTAAAAGAAATATTTATTTTGAGAAATATATAAGTATAGTAGTAATAATAGTGGAGAAAATTAAATTATGTGAAAAATAAGGCTGCAGAAAACTATAGGTGTTCATTTTGAACTGCCATGGTGCAAAAGTTTATGCATGTTCACGTTATACAAGTCAATTACTTATATAAAACAATCAAACCGGTCTTGTGTCTTTTAATTAACACGTGTCCATAGGAGCGGTAGGCACTTACCATGACCTGTCTGTACAAAAGAAAGAAAACAAAAGATGTTCAAAAACGAACTTTATACTATGGAGGGTAAAGGCAAGGAGAACCATCTCTGTGTATGAAAAGTGTCCAATAAAGGTGGCACTACGGTAGCCTAAGATAAATTTAAATTGGGTTGAATAATAAATGGCCAATCCTCTTTTTTAAAGAGAGGCCTATGTCCAGTAGTGGACTATTAAAGGCTGTTGATGATGATGATGATGATGGTGAATAATAAATTAGACACTGTGTACTAGACTGCGAAAATAGTCAATGAGTTTTACAGACAATAAACAAACGTGTAATAACTTTTATACAATAAAAGTTTTTATAACAATATTTTAACTCGGCACCCTTCACGCTGGTTACAACAGCTATGTTCATTTCATAGGTTTTTATACGCCATCTATCTCTATTTTCAGTATACAGCTGGACATTTCTCCTACTTTCCCCCTTAAGAGATGGTTCTCCTTTCCTCCACACTCCTTATTTTATATTTACAAAATCAAAAACTGAACACTTAAATGCGTTCCGAAATGCCGCTAAAATAAAGTGTCGGGAGATGTCTATTAGATAAATTTCTACCGAAATAACCGGTTTCGTGTGGTGACGGATTAAGAATACGGAATGTCACATCCGCTATTCATCCCGTGGGTGTCGTAGAAATCGACTAAGGGAGCAAACTACGCAGGACAACAGCACTGCAAAAAGAAGGAAAACTTGTAACAAACCCTATACCAACACGTTTGGCCAGCGTGGTATAGTAGGCCAAAACCTCCTGTCTAAGGAGAGGCATATCTCCAGCAGTGTACTATTAAAGGATGTTGATGTGACGTAAACCGGTTTGACGATGTGCAGTAAAACAACAATAAATCGCATACGGTCGGTACGGCCAGCGTGGTATAGTAGGCCAAAACCTCCTGTCTAAGGAGAGGCCTATCTCCAGCAGTGGTCTATTAAAGGATGTTGATGTGATGTAAACCGGTTTGACGATGTGCAGTAAAACAACAATAAATCGCATACGGTCGGTACGGCCAGCGTGGTATAGTAGGCCAAAACCTCCTGTCTAAGGAGAGGCCTATCTCCAGCAGTGGTCTATTAAAGGATGTTGATGTGATGTAAACCGGTTTGACGATGTGCAATAAAACAACAATAAATCGCATACGGTCGGTACGGCCAGCGTGGTATAGTAGGCCAAAACCTCCTGTCTAAGGAGAGGCCTATCTCCAGCAGTGGACTATTAAAGGCTGTTGATGTGATGTAAACCGGTTTGACGATGTGCAGTAAAACAACAATAAATCGCATAAGGTTATTACTTTCGCAAGAGGTACAGATTATTGTGTAATAAAATGACGAAATATGACACTACATCATTCCTTACGACCATTGATAACGGTTTTTACGAATGTCAACAATCTGTAATCTTTTGAAGTCACAAGATATGTGATGCTGACACATTACGTTTGTACATCTATAAAAATAAATAAAATTGAAGTGTCTGTTTGTAGTCAAAATAATGTTTTTTTTTTTCACGCGGTTATTTGCACGATACCGATGCCTAAAAACCTGTCTGTCTGTCTGTCTGTTTGTTAAGGGTAATCTTCAAAACGGTTTGACCGATTTTGATAATATTTTACTACCAGGTAGCTGTCTATATAAGGAGTAACTTAAGTTATTTTTTCCATCAGAAAACCCCTACTGTCCGGGAATCTTACCCGGTCCGGGAATCGAATCCACTAAGGCAGGGTTTTTTGAATTCCACGCGGGCAGTTATAAATAAGTTTGTACTTTAAAGAGGGGATGAGTATTTCTATAAGAGATCCGTAGTAATAAATAAAAGTAATTTAAAACATTTAAAAAAAAAAAAATTTATCGTATGAATGTTTGACAACAACCACGAAAATATGACACATATTTAAAAAAAAAATACTTTTAATAAGTATACCTAAAATGTTTTGTAAAGACTGCAATAAATTTGTTTTTATATTAAGAAATTATTTCGAATAAACAACAGAGTTAAAAAAAAACAATCTTAAAAATGTTTATGTACTACTAACCCTCCATTACACAAACATATTAAACAGTATACATCAGTGACACACATCCTATCCCCGAAGGGGTAGACAGGAGCGTATTACACGCCAAAATTTTGCCTAAACCTAAACCTAAACATACTTACTATATTTATGAATACACTAGCTGAGACCCGCGGTGTTACCCGCGTTTGTTGTTATAACCGCGGGCAACGCCGCGGGGCGAAGCTAGTCTAACAATAGTAGCCTAAGTTACTCCTTATGTCATCAGCCTACTGCCAGTGAAATTCCCGTCGAAATCGGCCCAGCCGTTCCAGAGAGTACCCGGAACAAACAGACAGACAGACAAAAATTGTAAAAAATGTTATTTTGGCATATGTACCGTGTAAACATACATATGAATTTAGTAAAAAGCTGTTATTTTAATATTACAAACAGACACTCCAATTTTATTTATTTGTATAGAAGATAACTACCATAGATAAATTAAGTAGGTATACCATAAAGCGGTGGTATTTAAAGAAAAAGAGTAAATGAATAATATAAGACTTCTTTTACATTCGCAAGATGGTATTGTTTCGTAATTTTCACAAACAAAAACATTTGTTGTGCTTCATCAAAAAAAGGAAACTTTTTGTCACGTTCAACATTTACTAATAACGTGAGTAAACCTCATTTTAAACATTCTATTCCCTAACGCAGCAATTAATCTGCCACCATTAATCATCAACAGCCTATAACAGTCCACTGTTGGACATAGGCCTCTCGTTAGAAAGGAGGTTTTGGCCTACTATACCTCGCTGGCCAGACGGGTTGATTTGACGGTTTGTTTCAAGTTTTCCTTCTCTTTGCAGTGCTGTTGTCCTGTGTAGTGTGTTCCCTTAGTCGGCTCTTACGACACCCACGGGATGAATAGGGGTGGTGACATTCCGTATTCTTAATCCGTCACCACACTGACTGAATAATCCGTTAATCTAGTAAATAATGAAGTTAGGTAGGTGTACATTAAATTATTTCATAACTACATGAGATTATTTAGTAGTTAAATACCGATATCTATTATCATCTATATAATTTACCTATGATCTACAATAAAGATTACTATTAGGTACTATTATTATTAATAACTTTGCGTCCAGTTAAATACTAAGAACGTTTAACATTATTCTACATAAAATTTGAATGATTAAAATTATGGAAAAGCAAGAAAATAGTCAATGCAAAAAGTTATTTTCCTCAAATTAATCAACTTTAAACGTTATAAAAAGAAGACAAGCAAATATTTGTTGCCATGTGCATCGTGGCAACAAATCTGCTGCATAATTTTAGAACATTCCTCTTTCACTTCCTCATAATTCAATTCTCATATCTTTCCAGACTGTCCAGCTCTCTGAAGCCCAAAAAGATAAAGCCAACCAGCATGTTGCAGAATGCATCAAGGAAACAGGCATCAAACCTGAAATGGTAGCCGAAGTGAAAAAGGGTCACTTTAGCGAGGATGAAGACCTAAAGAAATTCACCCTCTGCTTCTTCGAGAAGGCTGGCATCGTAGACAACGAAGGTAAACTCAACGTGGCAACTGCTCTGTCAAAGTTGCCCGCTGGAGTGGATAAAGCTGATGCAGAGAAATTACTAGAAAGCTGCAAAAACAAGAATGGCAAAGACGCCGCTGAAAGAGCTTTTGAAATCTTCAAATGCTACTACCAAGGTACAAAGTCTCATGTCTTCCTTGGATTTTAATAACTAGTATAAAATAAGTTAGCCGAAAAAGTAGGTAAGGCATACCGTTCTGTTATAATCTTTGGTGTTATTTTTTCTGAAGAATTAGGATTATTTCTGTTGAATGTTATTTTTTTATCAAATTTTAGTATTTTTTACTGTGGATTCGGCTAAAAAATATTAAGTGTTCAGAGATATTAAAGTAGTTTTTAATGAAATTAATCCTAATAAGTAACTTTAACGGTGTCACGCATTTTCTCCTTGCAAATACTCTTCAATGAAATTCATATTTATTTCCCTTCCATTCCCAAGATCGTGGCAGATAATAAATAACCCACAAATTGCTTGACCCAATTCTTACATCCCTCACTATTGTACTATATTTAGAACGACATATATGTTTTTATTTCAAATGAATTCATGCAAAGATGGGCAGTTATATAGACCTTCGTCTAGACGTACATAAATATGTATTCAAGGACTAACTAAAATGGGTTATAGTCATAAACAATATGTTATTGCTCTCTATAGAACAAAATGACCATAAATATTCCTACTTCATTGACACGTTTAGCTTTTATAAACACGCAATTTTATTAAAAACTAGCTGTATACACGCTTCGCTGTGTCAAATTGATGAAAAATAAAGAAAACAACTGACGCGAGAAATAGATAAAAATAATCTTCGAAGTAGGTTGTAAATCTTATCAAAATTTGAGATCAATCGATGCAGAACTTTTTGATTTTTTTAAGCGTACACAAACCAACTTAACATGCGTGTCCTGCAACTGACGTGTTACCTAATATCCTATCCCCGACAGCGTGCTTAATAAAGTTAGTAAGTATTGTTAATTTAAAAAAGTTATCTATGGTTTTCTATACCTTAAAGACTGTGTTTAAATTCTGTTTTATCCATTCTGAATTATTGTTAATATTTATTTAATCAACTTTAAAAATATAAATATGAATGAAAGAAATTTGTTTTAATTGCTCATTCAAGACATGTGTACACATAAACGGAGTTTCCGTGTACATAATAAATACCGGTTGTTAAATCACCAAGGTCAGGGATAATATTATCACTAGGTAATTATTGTGGCAATCAAATTGTAGATGGGAAACCAAATAATTATATAGATATAAGAATAATCATCATCTTCTACAACGTTTAATAGTCCACTGACAGGCATATGTCTCTCCTTAGAAAGGAAGTTTTAACCTGATATATCACGCTGGCCAGACGGGTTGGTACACGGTCTGTGTCATATTTCTCTTTGCAGTGCTGTTGTCCTGCGTAGTTTGCTCCCTTAGTCGGCTCTTACGACATCCACGGGAAGAATAGGGGTAGTGAAACTCCGCATTCTTAATCCGTTACCACACGGACATAATAAAGATTTTCGAAATGTTTTGGACGTAAAGGAGTAATGCTTCGACACAAATGGTCCAGCTCGGCCAGAGTGGACCAGAGTAACAGAAACCCAGTGTTAAGCAATCTTTCGTTGCTCTTTACCGAGTTAAGTTAGGTTACCGGAACTCGGAGCTACTGCTGGGGAAAGAATGGCGGAAGACTGTACGGATGGCGTAGTGGTTTAAGCGGTCGCCACACCGCTCACTACTACGCTAAGTGTTGTGGGTCCAATGGACCCACAACGTGGGACGACACTTTGTGTGATCCACAAATTGTTGTTCTTTGTGTCCGTTTCATGTATATTTGTAAAGACCTACGCGACACAGGATATAAATGTCGGAGTTGTCTTTTAAAAAAACAAAAATCAAGCGAGCGACGTCGCCGGCAATTGCTAGTATAGTATACAACACTGCCACAGTTTATGCCTAACGAATACCTATAGTTCTATAGTCCTTTGCGGTTTCATAACCACAATACTGGATTAACAAACCGCACTGAGGTACAACCTTTGACCTTTAAAGGCTAAGCCAGTTTAATGCAGTATATTTGTACAATTTACGTGGCTTTAAACCTTCTTCGGGAATCAAGCAATATATATATATATTTATTTATTCAATAAATCTTTGAGAGCAGACTCTCGGCACATATTAGACTAAGACTTATTGAGTTATTACTTCCACCTTTCAAAAGGCTAACACGCGACTACAGATACTGTACTGCTATGAAGAACGATAAAGATATAAGACAAGAGTCTTTTTAGGGTTCCGTACCTCAAAAGGTAAAAAAGGAACCCTTATAAGATCACTTTCTTGTCCGTCTGTCCGTGTGTCACCACCGATTTTCTCAGGTAGACATAGCAAGTTGAAATTTATACCAGATACTGAGGTCTATGGTCCCTATTAGGTGTACTATGTAGGTGGTTATTTGTGCTGTAAGACCTTGCTTTTAACCAAAATTTACAATTCTAGGTCAACCGGAAGTACCCTATAGGTTTTGGATCGAAAACCAACATGGTAGTTCCCGTTGACCTAAAATAAATAAAGTAAAATAAAGTGGTGCGAGGCAAAAATGTCTTGAAAAGCGCACAGTAGTGGAGCACCAAAGTAGGTGATAGGGATGTATATTTTGCCTTGTGGTAGTCCGAACGATTCCTCGGAGCACTATGCGATAGAGAATGCAGAGTGAAGCCACATCTTTACGTAACGCAAAGGGATCGAGCCGATCGGAGAATTAATAATATAAAAATACTAACTTCATACATCTCACACACGACCGTATGATATCTAGTCAGAGTGGTAGTAGAGACTATGGTGTTCAGACTGCTGATGAACATCCATACTAATATTAAAAATGCGAAAGCGTGTCTGTCTGTCTGTTACCCCTTTACTCTTAAACCGCTGAACCGATTTAGATAAAATTCGGTATAGAGATAGGGTAGTTTTTATCCCAGATATCATGCTTAAAGGGGGTGAAAAAAAAGTGGAAGTTTGTATGGGTAATCAAGAACCGCTGTACCGATTTAGATGAAATTTGGTAAGGAGATACTTTGATTCTTGAGGAAAGACATATGCTACTTTTTACCACGATAGCCGACATTTAAGCGGGTGGAACAGCGGGTAAAAGCTAATACTTATATATCTATAAATACATACAAATGATAGTTGAAATTATACGCATACTCATATAGATGATACTAGCTCATCACACAATTATTTGTCCTGGATGGGAATCGAAGCCACTACTACAGGTTTAGCAGTCAAGACCACAAACCACTAGACCGTCGCCCGTTGCCAGAATTAAGCTGAAAACCGATAAACGACTACCACTGGAGTCGCCGTGAGCCGTGTCCTTGACCGTGAACCAATGAAGCTCATGACTAGTCTTAGTTTATAAAATACATACCTATAACTAAACAAATATTATCTTTTCGCTTCGTTCTTGTGATATGAATGACAAAATATACATACGTTTAAATAGATACTTAGCTGTATACACACAAAACACTATTAATTTTACCAACATACACGACTATTTATTATTCACATTAACTTTACGATAAAAACTGGCACTATTCAACTATAAATCGAGTCTAGACAAAAACATTAAAAAAACAATAACCGTATTTACGATTCCCAAAAAAACTTTACATCACTACCACTCAAAGACACGATAGAGTAACAGACTAATTAAAATAATAGAAAATTCAAATTTAGAACACGTTCGCCATGTTTAGCGAACTTCAAATGTGTGGCGCGCTCGTCAACGTACTTGTTCCGTTACTATGGCGACGGATATTAAAGCTAAAACTGTACATAACTTTTCTCTAAATCTTTGGGTAAAATTATGCAGAGGCTTGCCGAAGTAAACGTAAACGGTATTTTTTCTTATGCTTTGAGACTCGTGATTGTAAATTAACTCCGCCCGGGCTTCGCATGTTTTTTAAGTATCTCTTTTTTGCCTACGTAGGCCACTTTTTAAAATGTTAGTTAAATATTGTTTTGTTTCAAATTATTAAAATCTTAGTTTTTGCCAATTATTACTGTGCGTGTGTGTGTTCGTGGGTTTCAAATAAAGTCATACATACATTCATGTCTGAATCACTGAAGGGGTAGACCAAGGCTGCTCAACCCCAGGCCCACGGGCCAGACTATGACCCGCAGACGAATTTTAAAATGGCCCGGGGTAGCCAGCGCAGGCGAATTTTAAATGACCCTGGATTGACTCCCCCGCCCACCCACTCGCTCGTTCCCCGTCAACTGTTATGCTCTTATTTGATTGTGCTCCGAGAAACAATAGAGTTCGCACACGTGCTACGAACTTGTGATCTTTGAACTGGACCAAACATTATCTAGTCAGTTTTTGGTAGAAGAAGTGTTTAAATTGGCGTTCAAAGATTTTTGAACTCTCAAACAAAACTCATTTAATTTTTAGATAGAAATTAAGTTTACATTTTAAGATCGCCTACGCCTACCTAAAATATTTATTTTACGTTTAAAATAGGTAAGCACCATGTTGTTTGTTTCAGTCCTACCGTTATGATGATGAATGGGAAAATAAATACTGTTTTACTGAAAGCAAGGCGCATGAAACAATATGTTTACAGTAGCTGTTGCAAAAAATAATAATTTATAAGCAGATTCATAATAATTTTGCAAAAGAGTACCCTGTTTATCAGAGAAGATTTTTTAAAGAAAAAAAGAGAATTGTTCAATCCACAAAATGTCTTCGTTAACAAATTCAACGAGCTTGAATCCATGACGAAAAAAATCTGCCGAGATTTCTTTGCTTTTAGCGAAAAAAAGAAACCTTTTGCTGATGGAAAAATTTCTAAAGAGGCTTTGAAGAAGCATGCAAAAAAGGAAGCAAGGAATGCATCGGAGAAAAAGGTTTATCATGGAATAAAATTATATCTATATGCACTGATGGTGCACCGGCAATGACTGGTAAAAACAATGGTTGCGTAGCTTTGTAATAGAATTTCTTAGATCGAACACTATTTGTGTGCAAAGGATATGCAGTTAGATGATATTATGGGTTAAGTTGCATAAATTATATACCTACGTCCAAAAGCTCTTTATAGACGTCTATTCATTCATTCGACGTTCATTTTTTG